TTGGTCCAGAGCCGCAGAGACGACGGATTCTGTTCCTGTTTAAAGAGATTTATGTGAAAAAAAACAAAACAAGATCTGAACCAGGACTAAACCAGGACTGAACCAGGACTGAACCAGGACTGAACCAGGACTAAACCAGGACTGAACCAGGACTAAACCAGGACTAAACCAGGACTGAACCAGGACTGAACCAGGACTGAACCAGGACTGAACCAGGACTGAACCAGGACTGAACCAGGACTGAACCAGGTCTAAAAGGACTAAACCAGGACTAAACCAGGACTGGACCAGGTCTGTGTCAGGACTCTGATCCATGTGACTTTTCAAACAGAAACATAAAGCAGATTATTGTAAAAGTTGTTTGTGCGTTTGAGAAAAGTCGTGTCTGGTTTTGTCCTTCTGAAGTGTAACTCTTGTGATCTCGTTGTATTTGTGTATTTGTGTATTTGTGTATTTGTGTGTTTGTTGTGTTTTGTGTAAATAAAAAGATTTAAAGTGTGAGTCTGGACCTGAACTGTGGCTCCATCTGGTGGAAACACAACACAACTACAACTCAGTTTATTCACACAAAAGACACACAAACAAACAAACAAACACACAAATATAAATATAAAATATATATATTATATATTATATGTTTATATTTATATATATATTTATATATATACACACACAAACACACACTTGACTGAAGTGTGTGTTTGTGTGTAGAGTCCAGCAGGGGGCACCATTCCTCCACCAGACTCTAGAGGCCAGAAGAACTCGAGTACAAGTACCGTTACTGCAAAACAACAGTACTCGAGTACAAGTACCGTTACTGCAAAACAACAGTACTCGAGTACAAGTACCGTTACTGCAAAACAACAGTACTCGAGTACAAGTACCGTTACTGCAAAACAACAGTACTCGAGTACACAGTGGTGCTTCATTCTGAGAACCTTCAAAATAAAATGGTAAATGGTCACATTTTTCTATAGCGCTTTTCCACCTTCAAGGCTCAAAGCTCTTTACAACAAGGAACCACTCACCCATTCACACACACATTCACACACACATTCACACACCAGTGCACACAGACACTGTGGGCAAGGTGGGTTAAGTGTCTTGCCCAAGGACACAACGACAGCATTCATCTGTGGGAGCTGGAATCACACCACCAACCTTCAGATCAGTGGGCGAATGCTCCACCAACTGAACTACTGCTGCCCCAAAATAAAAGCTCATCTAAGACGAAGGCTTTTATTCTGAAATGAGACGTGTTTACAGCTCAAAATGTACTCGAGTAAAAGTACTCTTACTACTCTGGTCTAGTCCAGGTCTGGTCTCGGTCTTCCTCAGGTCTGGACTCAGGATCCTCTGGGAATCACGTCTGGAATAATCAAGTTAGTGACGCCTCCTGGTCCCACCTGAGCCCAGACCAGGACTAAACCAGGACTAAACCAGGACTAAACCAGGACTAAACCAGGACTAAACCAGGACTAAACCAGGACTGAACCAGGACTGAACCAGGACTAAACCAGGACTGAACCAGGACTGAAACCAGGACTAAACAGGACTGAACCAGGACTAAACCAGGAACTGAACCAGGACTAAACCAGGACTAAACCAGGACTAAACCAGGACTAAACCAGGACTGAACCAGGACTAAACCAGGGACTGAACCAGGACACTGAACCAGGACTAAACCAGGACTGAACCAGGACTGAACCAGGACTAAACCAGGACTAAACCAGGACTGAACCAGGACTAAACAGGACTAAACCAGGACTAAAACCAGGACTAAACCAGGACTAAACCAGGACTAAACCAGGACTAAACCAGGACTAAACCAGGACTGAAACCAGGACTAAACCAGGACTAAACCAGGACTGAACCAGGGACTAAACCAGGACTAAACCAGGACTAAACCAGGACTAAACCAGGACTGAACCAGAGGACTAAACCAGGACTGAACCAGGACTAAACCAGGACTGAACCAGGACTGAACCAGGACTAAACCAGGACTAAAACCAGGACTAAACCAGGACTGAACCAGGACTAAACCAGGACTGAACCAGGACTGAACCAGAACTAAACCAGGACTAAACCAGGACTAAACCAGAACCAGACTAAACCAGGACTAAACCAGGACTAAACCAGGAACTAAACCAGGACTAAACCAGGACTAAACCAGGACTAAACCAGGACTGAACCAGGACTAGAACCAGGACTAAACCAGGACTAAACCAGAACTAAACCAGGACTAAACCAGGACTAAACCAGGACTAAACCAGAACTAAACCAGGACTGAACCAGGACTAAACCAGGACTAAACCAGAACTAAACCAGGACTAAACCAGGTCTAAACCGGGTCTAAACCAGGACTAAACCGGGACTAAACCAGGACTAAACCAGGACTAAACCAGAACTAAACCAGGACTGAACCAGGACTAAACCAGGACTAAAACCAGGACTAAACCAGAACTAAACCAGGACTAAACCAGGACTAAACCAGGACTAAACCAGAACTAAACCAGGACTAAACCAGACTAAACCAGACTAAACCAGGACTAAACCAGGACTAAAACCAGACTAAACCAGGACTAAACCAGACTAAACCAGAACTAAACCAGGACTAAACCAGGTCTAAACCAGGTCTAAACCAGGACTAAACCAGGACTAAACCAGAACTAAACCAGAACTAAACCGGGACTAAACCGGGACTAAACCAGAACTAAACCAGGACTAAACCAGGACTAAACCAGGACTAAACCAGGACTAAACCAGGACTAAACCAGAACTAAACCAGGACTAAACCAGGACTAAACCAGGACTAAACCAGGACTAAACCAGAACTAAACCAGGACTAAACCAGGATAAATGAACATCTTCTGAAGGTCGTCATTACCCATAATCCTCTGCTCCTGTGGCTTTGACCTCTGACCCTGATTAAACCCAGAAGACACGCCCCCTCCGTTTATCCTCCTCGTTTCCTTCCCTACCTCCTATCCCCATCCACATTTATTCACCGCACTGGTTTAGTCCTGGTCTAGTCCTGGTTTAGTCCTGGTTTAGTCCTGGTTTAGTCCTGGTTTAGTCCTGGTTTAGTCCTGGTTTAGTCCTGGTCTAGTCCTGGTTTAGTCCTGGTCTTAGTCTTGGTTTAGTCCTGGTTTAGTCCTGGTTTAGTCCTGGTTCAGTTTTGGTTTAGTTCTGGTTTAGTCCTGGTTTAGTCCTGGTTTAGTCCTGGTCTAGTCTTGGTTTAGTCCTGGTTTAGTCCTGGTTTAGTCCTGGTTTAGTTCTCAAACATTTAGTGAAAATAGTTTGGAGTCCATCCCAGGTCTAAACCAGGTGTAGAACTTCAGGAACAGCTGTTGGTCACATGCCTCTGTTCAGACCAGGTTCAGTCCAGGTTCAGTCCAGGTTCAGTCCAGGTTCAGTCCAGGTTTAGACCTGGTTCAGTCCTGGTTTCTGGTCCGGTTGTAGATGTACAGATGTGGGGGGCGGAGCTGACCCTGGACCCAAGGACCGAGTTGAGACCGACTCTGATCCTCCTCCAGGATTATTAAGACCGGAACCTCAAGGAGACCTGGTTTAGTCCTGGTTTAGTCCTGGTTTAGTCTGGTTTGGTTCTGGTTTAGTCCTGGTTTGGTTCTGGTTTGGTTCTGGTTAGTCTGGTTTGGTTCTGGTTTAGTCCTGGTTTGGTTCTGGTTTAGTCCTGGTTTAGTCCTGCGCTCGTGTTCGAGGTGCGTGATTGGTCCAGGGGCGTGTCACTTACGAGTTTGATTGACAGGTGGGCGGGCACAAGGTCAGGCTCCTGATTGGTCAAGCCAGGGTCAGTGGGCGGGGTCAAGGTCAGAGAACAACGTTATACAGAGCACCAATGTAGACCTGGTTTAGACCTGGTTTAGACCTGGTTTTAGTTCAGGACTGGTTCTGATCTGGTCCTGGTCTTGGTCCTGGTCTTGGTCCTGGTCTTGGTCTTGGTCCTGGTCTTGGTCCTGGTGTTTCCATAAATGATTAAACTCTGTTCGTTCTCGTGTTGGAGGTTTGGACCTGAACGACCCGAGACAAACAAGTCCTGGAGTCGAGTCAGAGGAGTCGAGTCAGAGGAGTCGGGTCAGAAGAGTCGGGTCAGAAGAGTGAATCAGAGGAGTCGGGTCAGAGGAGTCGGGTCAGAAGAGTCGGGTCAGAAGAGTCGGGTCAGAGGAGTCGGGTCAGAGGAGTCGGGTCAGAGGAATCGGGTCAGAAGAGTCGGGTCAGAAGAGTGAATCAGAGGAGTCGGGTCAGAGGAGTCGGGTCAGAAGAGTCGGGTCAGAGGAGTCGGGTCAGAGGAGTCGGGTCAAAAGAGTCGGGTCAGAAGAGTCGGGTCAGAAGAGTCGGGTCAGAGGAGTCGGGTCAGAGGAGTCGGGTCAGAGGAGTCGGGTCAGAAGAGTCGGGTCAGAGGAGTCGGTCAGAGGAGTCGGGTCAGAGGAGTCAGGTCAGGTGTGTTGGAGTTCCGTGGACCAGAGGGTCTCGTCCTGCACCTTCAGGTCGGGGGCAGGTCTCACTGTGGCGTCTCCTACGGCCCAACAGCAGTACAGAGTACTTGAGTACTCGAGTACTCGACCTTCTGTCAGGTCCTGGGAGGGACTGGACACTGCACCGACCAGACGCTCTGATGTTCTACTGAGAACTTCAACCTGCAGAGAAACGTCCTCCTGATCTGAACCTGGTCAGGTTCTGTTACTGGACTTCAGTTTGTCCAGAACCAACATCATGTTCAGCAGAAGGTCCATCAGCAGAAGGTCCATCAGCAGAAGGTCCATCAAGCAGAAGGTCCATCAGCAGAAGGTCCATCAGCAGAAGGTCCATCAGCAGAAGGTCCATCAGCAGAAGGTCCATCAGCAGAAGGTCCATCAGCAGAAGGTCCATCAACAGAAGGTCCATCAGCAGAAGGTCCATCAGCAGAAGGTCCATCAGCAGAAGGTCCATCAGCAGAAGGTCCATCAGAAGAAGGTCCATCAGCAGACGGTCCATCAGCA